CTAACCTATTTTTCGTGCATTTCCAGAAAGGATTAATAATTTACATGTGCGAACTCGTGTGACCTCCGAATTTGCTTGTTTTGATAAAAATGGGTTATATGTACAATGTCAGTAGTAGAGTGAATCCAGTAGTTTCAAGCAAGGTAAATGTATTAATGTTTACTTTGACAAATACAAAATGGCGGATTTCAGTTATTTTTTATCGGCTGAATTTCCTTATAATCCCCAGCTGTAATCCAATTCCAAGTGTCGTCTGCTAGAATGTAGTCCAACAAATGAAGCCACGTGATCAATTAGCAGATTCTGTGTCAACAGAAAAATTCTATGGAACACAATGTGAGCCATATTCTTATGTTGTTTCAATCACGCTACGTATCTTATTTTGTCAGTCACTATTTTTTTAATTACGGTTCTTTGAAGGCATTGTCATTAGTTATAATGAATTGATATTAAAGATAAATACTAAGATTACTAATTATACCACTGGGTATCCATACAACGTGTTTTTATTTGACTTATTTATAGATCAAACATTGTACACGAAAAAAGGCGACGCATTTTGATGAAATTCGGTGTTGAATCCTTATATGCACGAAAATAGATTACACCACTGTATTTTATTAATATTATCAGAACTTCAAGGGCCCATGAAAAGAAACATTAAAAACACTGTGGCTTCTATCAAGTTCAGAAGCAACATTTAAAAGATTTTCAGATTATCAAGGGAAGGAAGTCTGTCAATATTTGTTGATTACCCAAATTCAAACTATCTTGTGAATATAATACTACACACAAAATTTATATTGAAATCTTACATCAACTGAGACCTTAGTCCTGTTCACCAGCCAATTTTAGGCTGATGACTATTTAAGACCACATTATAATGAAGACCTTTTAAATAAAAACACATTTTAACAATCGTTTTAGCATGAATTGAATCAAGAACACCAATATAGCCCTACTGCTGAAGGGCTGATTATAAGATGTCAACCAACATAACAATAATTATGTGATAATTTGATTTCACAGATATGAATTCACAGTTCAAAAGCGTTTCATTCGATGAATTTGGGAGGAAAGTGTATTTATTCCAAATGTAAATAAATCATGGATGACGAAAATTACAGAATTTGGTCATTTGAACCAAGGTAAACCGTAAGAATATTTTGATTCTGATATTCCAAATCACATCAAAATAATCAGCCAACTCATTATTACCATCAAGTTTGCGATGATAGTTAGAAACTTACTTATTTTTCAAATATAGCTTACCTGAGAAAATTAAACCGGAAGTTTACCTGTCTGTTTACCTGATAAAAATAGACTTACTTGTGCGCATGCTCGTTCATTTTTCCGTGTTATATATAGTCCGAATCATCTGCCTCTATTAAACTCTATGACCAAACGGCCTATTATGAAAGTTACGCCAATCGTTACGGTAGCTGCCAAGGATTGCCGAATTGCCCGTACTATACATTTACTTAGGCTACTTGCATATCTTGATTCTCACCCGAACGCCAACATATATATAGCCTACAAATCTTAATTTCTATCTCTGTGTCGTCTATGTACAAAAATATTTTAGCAATGGATAGGAACCTGAACACAGACCCGATGAGGAAATTCTATTGTAAAACATATCTTCAAACCTCGGGGAAAGCTTTGGTCAAGCGTTTATGAACGTTTGGCTCCTTCATTTTAATCAAACCCATCATTTTATGTCGTATTTTAGTTAAGATTGAATATATGTCCCTTTTACATGACAAAACTCATATAATTTGCTTAATCTCACGAAGAAATGTCTTGAACAATATGTAGGAGAAACTAAAACTCTCGTTTTACGGCTCACGGATCAGATATCAAATTAAAAAGAGCCAACCCTTTATTTAATCATTTCATCGTGGACGACCATTCATTAGTTAGATGATCTTACCCTAACAAGTAACATAAACGCTATTATTCCGAATACCAAGCCAAAAATCTGATTTATACACACAAAATTTCATAAAATTCTGACATAAACTGTCACCTCTATCTCGTTCACAAGCCAACAAAGTTTGATGCGTTTTTACAAGGGAACTAACTCAAATTCTGTTGATTGAAAACTTGTCTAATTAAAACTTGACTAAGATTCCATCCTTATAAATGATCACACCAAATTTCATCAAATTGGATGAAAACAGTTGTCACTATTGTGTTCACAAACACATTTTGACGCGTTTTTCCTAAGTCAAGGGCAATAACTAAAAAACCGTTCATCGAAAGATCGTCAAATTCAAACTTCAAAACAAAATGAATTAATATCCTTGTTCGCTATAGACCCGATCCAATCATTTGTCTTATTTCATTATTGAGTAACCATTATCATTTATTTTATTTTCAGTGCAGTTTAGGATCATTAAAATTCTTTTTATATCAGTATGTGGTAGTAATATTGCAACCTGACTATAGGCCCTAGCTGTTACAGCTTACCTCTGTAACAAGGAATACGTCGATTGGAAATGTCAAAAATGTACCCCTTCAAAGAGTCTATATTCTAGTTGATATTCATAATATTATATAAGTATGTTTAACATAACCATTAATACATAAAATAAAAAAAAGACATTTTATTAACAAAAAAATAATAACAAAATATTTAAGCAATGGACGATGTACCCAGTGCAGTTACAGTGATATGAATACATTGAACAAGGTGCCAAATTGAATGAGCTGCCAAACGCTGTCATGATAAATTTGGCACCTTGACCAATGTACTCATATCACCGTAACTGCACTGGGTCCATCGCTCATTGCTTATATTTCCACTGTCTAATTAATTCTATTTTTTATACGCCCACATGAATATGTAGTCGTATATTGTCGTCGCCCCTGTCCGTCGGTCTGCCCGTCAACCTTTCTTGTGAGCACTATAGAGACTACAGTTTTTATCTGATTTTGATAAAACTTGGTGTGATGCTTTAGATTGATAAGATCTCGGTCAAGTTCGAATTTGACATATTTTCGATGAACGGTTTTTTAGATATTGCCCTTGACTTAGAACGCCTTGAAACTTGTTAAAAATTGTTCGTGAGAAGGATTGAAGCTACAGTTTTCGTCCGATTCTGATAAAACTTGGTGTGATCTTTGGAATTCATAAGATCTCGGACAAGTTCTAACTTGACGCATTTTCGATGAAGTTCTAACAAGAGATATTTTTGATGAAAATTTTTGTTGTTATTGCCCTTGACTTTGTAAACACGCGTCAAAAATTGTTTTTTGGCCTTGATTAGAGCTGTGTGATTTAATTGTTTGTTGTATTTGGGTTATTGATATTGATTTTAAAAAATTTTGTGGAATTATTCAGCATAAATAATTTCTTCAATATGAGGAAATTTGTACTTTAGTCACTAAAGACTGTTTTATTATTTCTGACAGCTGCCAGTGGGCGTATGTTACCTTGCAACGCAAGCTATCTTATCTGATTTTGATAAAACTTGGTGTGATGCTTTAGATTGATAAGATCTCGGTCAAGTTCGAATTTGACATATTTTCGATGAACGGTTTTTGAGATATTGCCCTTGACTTAAAACGCCTTGAAATTTGTTAAAAATAGTTCGTGAGCAGGATTGAAGCTACAGTTTTCAACCGATTCTGATGAAACTTGGTGTGATCATTGGAATTGATAAGATCTCGGACAAATCTAACTTGACGCATTTTCGATGAACGGTTTTTGAGTTATTGCCCTTGACTTTGTTAAAACGCGTCAAAATTTGTTAAAAGTAGTTCGTGAGCAGGATTATAGCTACTGTTTTCAACCGATTCTGATGAAACTTGGTGTGATCATTGGAATTGATAAGATCTCGGACAAATCTAACTTGACGCATTTTCGATGAACGGTTTTTGAGTTATTGCCCTTGACTTTGTTAAAACGCGTCAAAATTTGTTAAAAGTAGTTCGTGAGCAGGATTGAAGCTACAGTTTTCAACCGATTCTAATGAAACTTGTTGTGATCATTGGAATTGATAAGATCTCGGACAAGTTCTAACTTGATGCAATTTTGATGAACGGTTTTCGAGTTGTTGCCCTTGACTTTGTAAAAACGTGTCAAAATTTGTTCGTGAGCACAATAGAAGCTACAGTTTTCAACCGATTCTGATGAAACTTGGTGTGATCATTGAAATTGATAAGATCTCAGACAAGTTCTAACTTGACGCATTTTCAATGAAATGTTTTTGAGTTAATGCCATTAACTTACGAAAAATGCGTCAAAATTTGTTTGTGAGCACAATAGAAGCTACAGTTTTCAACCGATTCTAATGATCATTGGAATTGATAAGATCTCGGACAAGTTCTAACAAGAGATATTTTTGATGAACATTTTTTTAGTTATTGCCCTGACTTTGTAAACAAGCGTCAAAAGTTGTTTTTTTGCCCTTGATTAGAGCTGTGTGATTTAATTGTTTGTTGTATTTGGGTTATTGATGTTGATTTTAATAAAAAATTTTTTGGAATTATTCAGCATAAATAATTTCTTCAATATGAGAAAATTCGTACTTAAGTCACTAAAGACTGTTTTATTATTTCTGACAGCTGCCATTGGGCGTATGTTACTTTGCAACGCACGCTATCTTATAGTTATTAGTTTCCCATTAAATTCCATTTTCAAATAGTTAGCCCGGTTGAAGTTAGACAATGGCCGCTGTAGATACGATTGGCCGTAGGCCTACTCCATGAAAAATAGTAGGCCTACCCAATACTATGCTTCATTTAATTGAAAACACAACAATTTTTAAAAAATAATAACTTTTTATTCTTCTATCTTTTTTATTTTATTGTAATGCTAATAAATAAACCATTGCATCATTTAACAAAGTGCAACAATCAACAAGTTTTGTCATGTGACCATAAACGTTATTGAATGAAAATTGAATTTACGCGAATTTGAATGCATTTCTAGTTAAAGGGCAAAAGACAATTACAGTGCGAGTGGAAATATTTATATTTGAAGTATAGTCTGGTTATGCTATTGGTGGAATGGGTTTAGTTATTTTTGCATCAGCAAATGGCTTAAAATTTGCAACTGATTCTGGATATCGAAACGCTTGTGGTCCAACAAAACGTAAAGCCTCTTTTGTTCGGAGCATTGCATGAGAAGCTAAGACTACCAATGAGACTCTGAGACCATATTTCATTTCTTCTGTGGTAATTGGCTCGGCAGTGTCCGCATCGATTAACATGATGAGATCGGGAACACACGCTAAAGCTTCACCACATACGCTTTCCCCATCTTTATCCAATGGTAAAACGACCAGATTTTCGTTTTGGAATTCTATCTTGACGTAGTTTCCACAGAAATTGTCTGAGCCTTCAATGGTCAATCTGCCTTTATTGAAACCAGCAGTTGTTTCCCTTTGAACATCTCTCACTTTGCCAGTTATTAAATGATGTGCACTTTCTTCCTTTAAAATGGCATTAATTGGCGACATCTTTTCCAACCTGGCTCTCAAAACAGCATTACCCATTCGCCATGCACGACTAACAGAATGTAAAACAGTTTTTTTCATGACATCAGAAGTCTTCATTGGAGCTAGAACAAGTCCACCAGAACAACCCATGTCGACTACTGTGTCACGGAAGTGATGTTCTAATTGCTTAGCAGATGGAGTTTTGAGCATAACTGCTCGCCTATCTTTGTCGTGTGCTAGAACAGCTGGGTATGGTTCGGCGCCGTTATAAAATGGACAAAACATTTGCAATTCCGGAAAAGCACGTCCCATCCCATCTGCGTCAACTGTCGGTATACCCATGGCTGCCGAAACAAGTAATGGTTCGACGGCATTGCAACCTCCTATTTCCGCAGAAATCAGTGCAACAATGTTAACTTTTTTCTCTTTCTTGTTGACCCCCTTTTTCGGTGGATGGTAATCCTCAATAAAGGTCATGCCTGCTTTATGGACAACTTCTACGCCTTCTTTGTTCTTGATATCTCCATCTTCGTATTGCCCTATATTATATAGATCATCCATACCATCTAGAGCATAGTTTATCTCAACCGACGACATGAGCTGTTCGATCATAATCAATGGGGCTCCCATAAACGCCACGCAAACCACTCTATCCCTTTCGGCATTAGTGTTTTTGATAAGTCTTTCTGGGGTTATGACTCGCAATTTCTTACCTCGTTTGAGAGCGCTAAGACAACGTAAACGACCCAGGTATGGACTGCCACCTCCACCACAGCCAAAAATACCGGCACCCAGCACAATACATTCTATATCCCAAGCATTCAAAATCCATTCTCCAGTGCCAGGATCAATATAAGGGTCTGTGGGATGTAGCGCATTTTCAAAAACTTTATCATCCTCTGTGAGTGTATTTCCCGAGGCAGTAGTGGTCTGTTTTGATCTGGCATCAGCTATCTTGGGTTCTGGAACTGCCTCTAAATTATCAGAAGACCATGCAGTTAAATGGAGTCCGGGCTTGTTCCAATTTTCCATGTCTCCAATAGCTTTAATTTTCACTTGAATAACTTGTCCATGGATATAGGCTAGAGTTGAGTAATCCTTTTCATAAATCACCGTTGATGAGCGACTTGCACCAAGTAAAACAGTCTTTTCAATAGCCTTATTGCAGGCTTGATATATTGCCTCTGTAGCTTCTGCGAAGAAAAGGGTCCGTACCGATTCCTTGGCTGGATCTTCAAAGACATTTTGAATAGCTTCCTCAATTTTTTTATTCATTAGCTCAACATCGACCATATCCAGCAAGTTGTACACCAATTCAATTTTACTTGACACCTGACATAAAGCTGCACCAAGCGCATTTGCTATTCCAAAATGCTTTGGTAATATAACTTCACTGGTACCCTTCAATTTTCGATTGGGATCTATAAGAATGCTCCCTCCACCAACCAAAATAACTGGAAGATCTTCTTCATCAAATTTCATTTTATCAATAGTATTTTCTACCATTTCGTGTATTTTATCAAGCGCAAGCCTCACGATCTCCTTATCAAGGTCTGCAACAGCAGACACGTCTCCAAGAATAGCCAGTCCACCAGCCACTGCGACATCGGATGATGTTAGAACTTCGGCTGATTTGGTAAAAACTCTGGCTTCATTAATAAGATTATAACCAGCACTGAGGGGCCCAACGGTGACGAATCTACTACCATCTTTCAGGTGTGATATAACATAGGAACCACCACCCAAACCAATACTCAATACGTTGGGCATTCTAAAATTTGTCTTTAGTCCTCCTACCTTAACTTGCGTTGACGCTTCTCGAGGAAAACCGTTTTTGAGCATCCCTACATCCGTTGTGGTACCACCAATGTCGACCACCAAAGCATCTTTTATTTGTGATAAATAGGCTGCTCCACGCATAGAATTAGTAGGTCCGGAAGCAAATGTGTATATTGGGTGTTCCAAGGCATCTTCGGCGCTGATAATAGTACCGTCATTTTGAGTCAAAAACAGAGGACAGTCCAAACCCAGTTCAGAAAGAGCCTTTTTAAACCCGTCTATAGTCTTTTGGCATAAGGGTTTTAGACATTCGTTTAAAATAGCAGCATTTTCCCGTTCAAGAAGACCAATTTGTCCAATTTCACAGGATAACGTGACACTTGCCTCTGGATATTCCAAGTCGATAAGCTCCTTGACCCTTCTCTCTTGATTTTGTCTTACAGGAGAAAACACACCAGAGATTACCAGATATTTAAGACCTTTAACCTTCAGAGTAGCTATAACTTGACGGATTTCATTTTCGTCTATTTCATCAATTGGACGTCCATCATAACGAAATCCACCTTTTACCAAATGCACTGAACCATTAATTGTTCTTTTAAGAAATTCCGGAAAGTCGCTAAATGGTGGCAGGTCTTGAGATACAGTCCCACAAAGTCTAATAACTGCGACTTTAACCAAATCTTTCCCTTGAACTGCTGCATTAACGAAATGTGTTGTACCGATATTGACCTGAACAACGCTCACTTTTTGCCCATTTTCATGTGTCTGCTTTAAAACTGTGTAAATAGCTTTATGTACACCAGTTGTAACGTCACTTGATGTTGATTGTTTGGTTGTTGATAAAACTGTTGCTTGCTGTTTATTCCCAGCAATAAGCACAGCATCAGTGTTTGTTCCTCCAACATCAACCCCAATAACTACCGGTGTTATCACATTCGCCATTTTCTTACTTTGTAAACAGAAAGGGGCGTAACTTCCTATGTATGTCGTTTTGTGAACTAGTTTCTTTCATTGCTAGGATATATAATCGAGATAATATGTATCAAACCTTTACAGATGTTTATGATCAGAGCGTATTATATGTCAAACGCTAGATTGGTCATTGTTTTGGATTATTTATGAGTATATTATAATGGATGGCTCAGAAAAAAAACCGATTACATTTTCAATTCAGGATTATACATAACGTATCAAAGCTACATGATCATAATATTTTGACTGATATTTATACAGATTTATCACAACAGTTCTGTTCTCGGGTTCATAACACGGGCTCATTAAAACAACGATCTGAACTCGAAGCATAGGTTTATAACTATGCAAATTAGGTCATGCATTCTTGAACCAAGTAAACAGAACGACATGGCATTCTTTGGAGTTTACGACTTAGTTAAAAATCGAAGGTAAAGGGCATGAAATTGTTCAAATAACTTAACTTTGGATAAAAGTCTCAATTTAGTTAACACATGAATGTGTTTAAATCTATATCTTATTGTTTCATGTAAGGACCTTTTGCAGAATGGTGGGCCTCGAAATGAAGGCCCTATATAAAAAAGGTGCAAGGAATAATGACATCTTTCATACATAGGCCTACAGTGACTAACAAGTCTTCAGCTTTATGTGCCCTTTTAGGCAATTTGTATCAATAAATGCTATAGATCTCTGTAACATATCAGGGCAATGAATAACAGCCATTATATAAATGTACAGGAACTAAACTGAAGGCCAAAAAGAAACTTTACTAAGGTATGAAAACGCCCTAGCTGAAAAACAGAACAAAATAAATAACTTGATTGAAATGTTTAACCAGCACAATAAATGACAAACGTATCGCTTGGGGTGAGGTGGGTTACACAAATCGGGCTGTCAACTTAACACTGCAATCAGAAAGCCGCTGCAAGTCTAAAATCATTCACATCTGAGTGACCAAACAAAGCATCAATACAGACAAATCAGCTGGGCTTTTTGTCTAGTTTATCTTCTATGACGTCACCAGGTCACGTGAGGCGGACCTCAGAATTTTTAGAAATATTTTGTGTGTTTGTTTCCATGAACAATATCTTGCACAAATTAGATTTTTGGTATGATTTGACGCAGATTGGTGACCGCTCTTGATATACTGAAAATGGATCAGGAAAGTGGGCGTATCTTGCTTGGCAACCACTTGTTCCGATTTTCAATAGGGTTCATCCTTGGGTGATTACAAACACTCACACCAAGTTTCGTCAAAATCTGTCAAGAATTTGTACCTTCCAGAGTGTTTACTAGTTGAACATTTTAAGTGGTTTTTAAGTTGAAATAGGATTCATCCATTGGTGTTTACATACATTCCCTCCATGTTTCATCAAAAATCCATCGAGAATTGTGCCTTCAAGATATACAAAATATTTTTCGATTTATCTGATTTCCTAAGAGAGTTCATGGGCAATTACGAACACTCACACCAGGTTTCGTCAAAATCTGCCAAGAATTGTTCCTTCTACAGTGTTAACGAGCTAAAAAATTGAACGCGTTTTCAAGAAAATGGGCCATACTAAATACTAAATATTTTTCGATTTTTTTTATTTTCAATAGACTTTATTCATGTGTGATAAAAAACACTCATGCCAAGTTTCATAAAAATCCGTGAAGAATTGTGCCTTCTAGAGTGTTTACGAGCATTTCAAGAACAAGAGCAATAACTCATACTAAATATTTTTTTCGATCTTTCCGATTTTGAATAGGGTTCATCCTTGGGTGATTACAAACACTCATACTAAGTTTCGTCAAAAGAAGAACACCGAGGTAGATATAAAATATGTCTTGTGTAAAGGAAAATATTCAATGAAACGATTTATATAAGGTTATGATTATGTTTCATTACGGTAAATGGTAGAAAATCATCTGAAGAGGAGATGGTCGTGACTAGCGTTAGCCACCTTCTTCTATATATACTATTATAGAGAGAGTCCACTATTGATAGAAACAGATGGCTGTGCTATTTTTCACCTAAATTAATCCCTATCGCCTCCTCCCTAATTCGTGCTTCGCTCATTTCGCGACTTTTTTCATATTAGGTGAATTATATTTGCTCTGGTTTCAAAGTCGGTGTCGTACTTATTGGAGTTACAGGCAGGGTTTCCCTTTGACAGTGGCATGGTTTTGAGAAGCAAAGTCGTACCTTTATTGACACATTATACAGCATACTCAATTTGAAAAAATGTTTCAAACGAAAGTTGTAGACAAAGGATGAGTAATATGTAACGAATTTTCTTGTCATTTTTAAGTTCACATATTACGCAATTTATCTGTTTGTCTTGTCGCAGTGGGTATATAAACGCCTTCGTATTGCCAACGTAAGGAATACTCTCAAATTGCCAAGTCTACAGATGTTTTTACTTTTTAATCTCGAATACTGCCTTGGAAATTTTCTTTTCTCTCAATTTGTTAAAGGCCTGTTCATATTGCTCTAATTTGAATATTTCTATTCCAAGCTTTCCATAGTTCAGATATTTATCCGCCATGTCACTGACAAGACTCACGCTCTTGGGGAAACAAAATGGACTAAAGGCAGTGCCGAAAATTTTGATCTCTTTGTTGACTATTTCGAATGGTTTCAGCTTGATATCGGCGTCCATAGGTGTCAGTCCAAAAAGAAGCAGTTTTCCACCAGGATTCAAGAAACCGAGGCTTAGTTCTATGGCTGTGGTGTTTCCAGTGCAATCCACAGCGATGTCAAACCGTTGATTGGATGTCTTAAAATCATCAGGATGGCAGAAATCAAAGCCCAGTTGTAAGCCTTTACCAATATTCAACCGCTCAGTTGAAACCTCCAATACTGTAACATGTCTGAATCCTCGATGATGAAACATACATGTCCAGAGCAACCCATAGATTCCAGCTCCCATAATTAAAATCTTGCTACCGTCTTCAATGGGAGAGACCGTTTCGTAACCATGAATTACACAGCCCATAGGTTCAAGCAGGACCGACTTGTCGAATGGCAAAGAATTTGGTATTGGTATTGCTTGTCTGGATTGAACACGACAGAATTCGGCAAATCCACCATCCTCGCCTATTCCTATGCATTTTCTAAATGTCTCGTGGCAGTAGTTCCTCTTGCCAACTTGGCAAAAAGTGCAACAGGTACAGTGGGGGTTGACATCCACGGAAACTCTTTGCTGTAGCTTGATGTGCTTGACCTCAGGACCTACTTCCACAACCGTCCCTGTAATTTCGTGACCAATAATGAGATTATCAACAGGAATACCAATTTCGTTATCGAGAATGTGAAGATCAGATCCACATACACCGGAATAAGCTATTTCCACGAGGACTTCATCTCCAGCTATTTTAGGTTTCTGGACTTGACCTAGTGTAAGATTGGATTTATCCCATTGTATAGCTTTCATCGTCATCTGAAATGAAATACAGAAGATAAGGCTAGTAAGCAATTGTAAATTTTTCTTACTACTCAAAAGCTATGAATATTGGAGTTTCGGGTTTAATTTTGACCAATTAAAGCCTATAAAAAGTCAGTTGACGGTTTGACGATCTTTGCGAATAATATTTTTTTTCATTTAGTTGTAAGTTGTCCTCACGGACGCCTTTGGGTCAAAATCGAATGAACGCTTTGTCCTGTATGCAAACTCCACGCCGTTAAGCTGCCATCTTGAAAAAAGCAAAAAATCTTTAAAATCTTCTTATCATGAGCTTCAACATCTTTCTACTCCAGTATCTCTTTTCCCTTTGGATACATTACCTTTTGAATTTTACGACTCTGAAAATGGGTAATTTGCATATCTTTTGTATATCGGAGTATTATATCACACGAACTTGGATTTTTCGCCATTTAATTTGATGTTATTATAATGTACATAAGCCTTCTAACAATGTATTTATTTTAGTTGTCAATATAAAACTTTTCTAAATATGCCATATTTATTTTAGGTTATTTGGATATTTAAACGGACTCTTGGTTGAGTTCTAATTAACATACCGGAAAAATTAGACCAGATTCATAATGCACTTTTTCACAGCTTTAAATAAATATATCAAAATATATGTATAATCAAAATTTAGGAAAAAATTACCATCAATTAAGAAAGAGTTATAAAGATTATCTAACCAGGTCAGCAGGTCATAGAGGGTTAATGTGAAAATACGTTATTTTAATATTTATGCGGACTCATGTGTAAGTTCTACTTTATTTAACGGAAAAATTCGAACACAATTATGATGTGCGAATTCACATCTATAAATAGGTATATAAAATAATATTCATAAACAAATTTTGGAAAATACTTGAAATAAAAAATACTATTAATTAGTAGGGATTATAGTTAAAAAGATTATGTAACTGGTCATGAAGAAGTCCAATGATCAATAAATTATGATTCCAACATAATATTTTTCAAAGAATGTACGGAAACAGCTGGATATGACCGAAATTGGTTTCGGACTATATTTTTGCACCACAAGCAGTCAAATTTGTAATTCCACGTATAAACAAAATTTACCATATTTGTTAGAATAAAATTACACTCCAATTAGACAGATATATTCGACAACAAGAGTGTAACAGATCAAAAAGTCAAATGGTGTTAATTTAACACCTTTTTAGGTAAAAGTGGAATGACCGAAAACCCAGAAATAACCCATCGGAAACGTTTCCAAACATTGACAGTCTATTCCCATTCATGTTTTACGAAATATAAATACAGACAATGTAAACTAGCTGACAGATCTGTGTGAAACAGGTCTAGCTTTACTTTTAATCTGTTACTATGCTACTTTCAATCTACATCTATATTGAAGCTGAAATACGTAGCCTATTCACATAAAAAAAATATCTGCAAAATAGAACAAACATACCTTTAAATAGAAGAGTTCTCTAACTGACGTGGTGTGATACGTTAGTAAATGGTGAAATATAATATAGCTATCAGCATTCTACACCTCGCATAATACTATTATTTAGTATAGTATATAATGGGCCTATCTAGTATAGCTATAACGACTCTACTCAGTCATGCACTAAGTCGATAAACAAGAATGATAAACTGTAAATAGAGTTTTCAACGAGAGCTTATGACATTTAAATTAAGTTCATACGACAAGCCGTAGGCGCACGGCCCCTAACCCCGTTTCGTTTCCATTTTGGCGCATGATTCATGCAATGTTATTTGGCCCACTCAGACCACTGAAACATTCTATGCAAATGATTTTATAAGAATGTAATGAGTGTTATTTTTAGAAATCCTCTTTTTCCCTCACTTTTGAGGGTTTTGCTTATTTTAGACTACTTTTTGGTTTAGATTTGAAATTTGATTTCAGTTTTTTGTCCAGAAACTATGTAGGCCTATGCCCATTGATCGGTCTTTCTTGTGACATATTTGAAAGTTTTCAATGAGACTTTTGAAAGAGTTATAGCAATTCTGTGGCCCATAATCGGCCCCTCTGTATAAACAAAGTTTATCAAAATTTCAGAAATTTTGCTTCTATTTCGTTCATGGGTATTCGAAAGAATTGAAAGTTTTTCTTTTCGAATATAACAGAGGTCCTACGAAAGGGGAGCAATTTTTTCGATTTGAATGTCATAGTTCGATACAGATACTTAATTAACTGTTATAACGGTTTAATTATAATTTTAATAATCATATTCACTGAAAACATGCCACAGCCTAACGCAGTGTAGCTGTGAGCTTATTAATTTTAACAGTGTCCATTAATCATAGTAAATTATAAATCAATAAATTAGGTATTCTTCTTGTATTCTACCATCCTAACATTGTTTATAAAGTACAGAAAGAAAGGTAAGGCCAATGGTTATTGATCTAATTCCCTCCGCCGTTTTGTTTTTAAGGAATTCAAAGGCCGTAAATGATATATCGTCAGACTCATAAGAAAAGAACCCAATTTTAAGTTCAAAGGGTACAAAAAGGTCCTTAATAACCGTTGCCAAACATTCAGACTCATTAACCAATAAAATTGCGAGTTATTTATAGATTTGCAATATGCCTAAGTCATTAGGCATTTTTCACTTATGTATTTCCAGCGATCTGAGATAAGGAATTTTTTGCTTAAACGTCGTGATTCTTTAGTGATGAATCCTTAATTTTACCTGCAAAATCAGGATAGGGCCAATTGATCCATAAAATTCCCCTCATGGTAAAAATAACGGATCATCACAAAGAAATCATTGTCTCAGATTGCTGGAAATGGCGTTTACGGTTCCTCTTCCAATACCGTCGGTGCTTATGCCCCCTCCACCACCCCCGAAATAAAACCTATCATCAAAGCATCGCCTCTTTTAATCTTGTTTGATCAATTTACATAGGCCCATCGAAATGAGTTTAATCGATAGAAACTCGAGAATTTGGTTGTGACAAACTATTTTTAGATAAATAGATATAAAGATAATTTTTATTTTAAAATAAATGTGCTTTCGAACTTCCGTTAAAAGGCTTGTGTAGTTGGATGTTATTCCAAATTCTTTTAAAAAAAATTGTTAGGGATAAATGTTGTGGCTTACCCAGGTTCTTTATTCTGAGTATTCAAGTCTTACCCAGGTTCTTTATTCTGAGTATTCAAGTCTTACCCAGGTTCTTTATTCTGAGTATAGAAGTACCAACCAGGTTCTTACTCCTGAGTATACAAGTCTTACCCAAGTTCTTTATACTGAGTATATAAGTCTTACCCAGGTTCTTTATTCTGAGTATACAAGTCTTACCCAAGTTCTTTATACTGAGTATATAAGTCTTACCCGGGTTCTTTATTCTGAGTATATAAGTCTTACCCAGGTTCTGTAACTTAATATATTATGTTGAAAGAAGACCATCTTCTACTGAAAATTGGTTTGGTAAGATTCCACGTTGCAGCGCAGATCATTTATCGTCAATAATATTGTTTTGCATTTCTTGCTCTATGTAACCTAACATTTATTAAAATTAATAAAAACCCTTATGTTAATTGTACCTTGGTCGGTTGATCAGTAATAGTGTTCACAGATAACCGTCGAAAGTTGAAATGAAAGAAATTGGCTTGATTACATTAGGCTACAACCCCGTTTCCCAACCTGGGGTGTTTTCACCCCCTGGGGGTGTGGGACTAGGGTATCAGGGGTGTGGCTAAGTGGTGTAGGAGAATAATGTATTTTAAATTGAGAGACCAACTAACATCATCACAGGCTGCAAATGTGGATGAAACAAATTTTTGGGGTGTGAAAGGTCCAGGTTATTGCTCCAGGGGTGTGAAGGCTGAAAAGGGTTGGAAACCACTGGGCTACATGATTCAGGATAATATTATATAATGGTTAATCATCAAAAAAAAAAAAAAAAAAATTAGGCAAAATACAATGGACAGGGCCTTTAAGATGTACTGAACATGCTTATCTTTCCATTGTGAATCTTTTTATATATATATATATATATATATATATTGATAGGTTCACTGAATCAAAGAAAACAATATCCAGATAATCAAGAATGTAGCCTCGTCTAGTGATAATTGCGTAACCATCAAGAAATGGCGGAAATTCTTGACTTTTATTTTGGAGTGTCCATCTAGACTAACTAGCTTAAGTCACAATAACAATATGATGGGATTCAACTGTTTTTACTGAATTGACAAGAAGGCCTCCTCTAAAAACAATATTTACTTATTTTAACATTTAACAAGATAACAAAATAATAATTACACAATATACAATTATTTATATGTAACAGGTATTATGTATACAAGATATACAAAAATACAATGATTAAAATATTGCACTATAAAAAATTAGAAACTAAACATTGAATAAATAACATTATAATCACACTACTTAAATGATGGTAGACACCTGCATGCCTACAGATTTAAAAAGATACAAGTTTTGTTGTAAAATTTTGTCCAGTCTCCAAACCTTAACCATCTGGGGAAACCAGAATGAAAAATCTGACAATACATATTCTAGGTCAACATATAAGGAATACAGGTGTTGTTTGGACACGATGATTCTAAGGGTAACTGATTCTAAGGGTAACGGTAACCGTAAGCTTACTCTGGTCTATAACTAATTTTATACATGATAGTTTGAAATGAGGGATATAACACAAAAAGAAATACATATGCATGCAGTCTATGTTCCATTTCAGGCATATGCGTACGGGCTGAAGGCTTGATGGGGGAGCATGCAGGTCTTCCTAAAATTTTTCCATGAATGCTTTCAAGTTTTAGAATTCTATACTAATATAAAAGATTAAGTCGTAACTGGATATGATATAAAATTTTAAAAGAGAAACCTAAAAAACTAAACTATTTTCACCATAAATTTAAAAAATAATAACAATATGACACAAATGTTTTACAAGTTATTTCAATGAAAGATAGGGTGCAAATCTTATTTCCTCAAAAATAAATTAAGATGAAATACATTTTACAACAGATTTTATTGCAAATAAAATATAACTGTATAGTCTTTAATCAACAACTATCATAGTAACCTATGAACTTCCCTTGAAAGACATATTTGATTTAAATAAACAATAGAATTTTTAAATATTTAAAGCTGATATTATTTATTCTGTATTTCTTGTGAAGATAAGAAACTAATAGCTGTTTGTACTGATGTTAAACAATATCCTTCTTCACCCATTATATACCTACAATAAACACAATAAATACATATACAGGACTCTGTTTCTCAAAATATCGTAGATTAACGAACGAGCGTAAACGTTATACCTCAATGATTTGATAACGTCAAAAATAACGTTTCTTCTTCACTTAACGTGTAAGTTTAGTCGTACGGACTTTTGAGAAACGGGGTCCAGGTCTATAAATTATCAGGACTGCTCTGTAAGTTCACTTATCTAATATTCTTTCAGAAAAAGTAATAAAAGTAATAAATGAAATATTTCGAAGTGAGCTGACACCCACTGCTTCACACTCCAGTTTAAGTTAACCAATGAGTAATTTTGATGTAAATATGAATGTAATTATAATTTTAATCTGCTCCTGAAGGATTTTCAGATCAGGCACTAACTACAACTCAATGGAAGAAAACAAATTCTATTATACTGAGAGTATTCATTTGCTTTTTGTCATATCTCTAATCCTTTGAAATGTGGTTTTAGTTACTTACCCTTCATGAATAAATTCTGCCATGGCTTGACATTCTGACAATAATTGGGGCAAACCACTTTTAACAACAACATAGGTTAAAATAGGTAATAAATCATCTGCTCCTCTATAACATAATAAATAACATAACTATAAACAACCTTAATGTAGCAATTACAAAAAAAGCAAAAAAAAAAGCACACCACCAAAATAGAGTAATATTAGGTAAGAAATAATCTTCCCCTCTATAATACCATAAATAACATAACTATAACATAAATAATAACATAGTGAGAAAATATATAAAATTATAAATCATCTGCTCCTTTACATCATAATTAATAATACAAATAGAATTCATGTTACATAGATAGAGAAGACAGAATTGGAAATGCTTCGCATTAACATAATAAATAACATAACTTTACACCAAATAAATATAGCTGGAGATAATTTCGAGTTCCACACAAAGATGCCAGACAATACAGTCAAATTATCATACATGGACCAAATAAATCAACGACCAAATTTATAAGGTTGACTTCCCATTTCACATTATAATACATAAACTAATACTTACACACATGGTGTAGAAGAAATTTCACCATCTTGTATTTGTTTTGTTGTATAAAAATTTTCTACACATTCACATATCAATCTACATACATTAACTGAAATATATATAATATATAATATATATTAATGTGATATCTGCTATATCTTTAGTTATAATAGAAACAACAAAAATGTATGAATTTCAATGAAGATAGCTTGCCAGGCAAGGTAATATACGCCCACTGGCAGCTTTGATTTTGAATAAAAATTAGTAGCAGCACAGTAACAATTACCAGTATTAAATATTCAACCTTCAGTCATACACTTCTTTTGATCTTTTTGGGGTGATACTGAACAATAATGTTTTGTCAAAATCCTGCATGAATCATTGAATGTGTTTTCACGATTGAGATCAATAATTCTTATATAATAATTTTCAATTTTTTGATTTTCAATAGGTTTCATACATGGGTGATAGAGAATTTAACCAAGTTTCCCTCAAGAATATACAGACGGACATGGGTGACTTTCATGTGGTTGTATAAAAATAGTAAATAATAGTGGTCATCTTCATACAAAACTAACATTGATTATAAATATTCAACTAATAATTGGAGATGACAACAACCTTTTTTCTAGAATATATAATACTTCTTTGCACGTGACTTGCAGGTAATTTATATCTGAGCAAAGTCACAGACTTTCAATATAAATATTTCTAACACACTGAGCTCTAATCACTAAGATATTTATGAAAAAAAAGTTTTGTCAAATTCCATCATGAATAATAAATATACATACCAACACATTCCAGTTTACTCAGCATAGTATAATGGTCTTTTAATCTTCTTATTTCATTTATAGCACTTTGGAAAGGTAAAGTACCTTCCACGTCAGAAACTAAGCATAATTTTCTTGACACACCATAAGATTCTGGTAAATCACCTTGTTTAATAGTCATACAATAAGCTAAGGCTGTCTCTTCTGTTTTGTTTGATAGTCTGAAGAGAAAAAAATCAATAAACTTCTAAAAGGTGATATGACATCATTCAAATAATAATTTTCAAAATAATATGACATCTATAAGGAAAAAGAAATTGATGGTATAATAAATGAGTAAAGTGCTTCAGTGATTTGATATCATTGAGAGTTTGATCCCAGCCCCATAAATTGTCTTAATTTCTAAGACAAGATGTACAACCCTACCATGCTAAAATACTACATCAACAAACATACTGAGAAAATAAAGATTAGTGCAAATTTTAATGGTTTCTGCTTATTTTTATTATATCCATATAATGTAGTATGGACCATTGTTGGGAAATTTTTTTTAGGAATAGACTAAACTCGTACTTCATTCCAATAATGCTAACTTTAAGGTGACTATCAATTAGCTTTGAAATATGATTTGGTAAATGACCTTTCCTAAAATGGACAATAGTGGAAATATTGGAAATAGTTAATAATTCTATTGTGTGAAAATTCTAGCAAGACAGTTAATGTTGGCATTATGTTTCTAGAAAAATTGACATTTACACCCACACCAACCTGAATATATTTAACAGATATTTCCAAATTGGTTTGAAAAAGGGTTCTTCAATGGAAGCATAACATTGATCTTGACCTTCTGCACTACCAAGTTCCTCGTATCCTATTGAGAACATTACTAGAAGTTTCTCAAGAGCATGGTGAATGTCTTGAGATACACCTTTCAAATGACGAACATAGGCTTCTTCTGACATTGTTCTCACTCTAGCTATCTCTGACGGACGTCTAAATTTGTATAAATTGTCTCTAAACTTCGAGCTGCTGTCCACATCATTGGATGATAAAACAACATAAGCTTCTGAATCCTGTCTTTGCAAGTTAAATTCTATTTTATCCAATTCTTTATTTCCTGCAAGACTTTCCACATCATTATTATCATCATCAAATAAATCATCCATATTCTCTTCACTATAGCTTTCAAATTCCCGAGACATTGAACGTACACTAGTATAAATCTTTTTGTTATCCATAGATAATTGTTCTGTTAATTTAGCATTTTGGTCTACTGCTGTTTTTAAATCAGTTATAGTTTGTTCAGTGAAGTTTTCTACATTGTTTTTACATTCAATGTTGACAAACTGCTCACTATATTCTCGATTTTTACTATCATTTACAGTGATGTTAACAATATCGCTTACTATACAACTTTCATCATTCTTATCTCTAAGACATTCACTACCCTGTTTATCATTTACACTACTCTGTTTACCATTATCCTTATCCTGATCAAGCTTATCACTATCCTGCTTATCATTATCCTTATCACTATCCTCCTTATCATTATCCTTATCACAATCCTCCTTATCATTTCCATTATTTTTCTTTTTACTATCACAACTTTCTTCTAAAACTGGACGTCTTTTGGGATGAAAACTTTCTGGTAGAGGAACACATATTTCATTCACGGTAGCCATCTTCGTAGAAACTAATGGATACAGCTTTTCATAAATCTTATACTGATACTTCATTAATAGTTTGGTTAATGGATGGTCTTCACATCTGTAAAAATAGAAACCATTAAAATTAACACAACTCGTCAGGCATATATATTTTTTTATTGTTTCGTGTTGACATGGTTGGTTAACTTTGAAACTGCACCAGATCTACACAATCTACCAAATTGACCTGTTACAGAGATAAGTATCATCCACTTCAATTGTCTGCAAACTCATAGTTTTCATGCTAACAAGAGCTGTTTAGAGTTGGAGAGCGGTCTTTAAAAGCAATGACCAGGATTATGTGCTTTTCATCTTCTGACACCATTTTAGACAGTCAGTAGTGAGTTGGATTGCTATCTTCAAGGGTTCCAATTGTCCTTGAGTAAGTCTGAGTTTTCACCTCCTGTTACCAGTAAGTTTTGTCAAATGGTTCAGATTTATTTCTATATTTTTTTTGGTTAAAAGTTTTGCACAAGGTATGCAATGTCAAATGATGGCTCCTGACAAAATTGGTTTTCAAAATTTCTATTAATTTCGGACTGGCAGACCAAAAGACATGGATAAAAATTGGATAAATGCTTAAGATTCTAGTGCATTTATGAGTTAATCTGATACAGAAATATGAACATATGAAATAGATGCCGAAAAAATATATGTGAAAAGAAAAATCAGTTTTCAAGATGGGACATAATAAGACATTTTTGTCTACACATTTACTAGTAGTTAAAATAAGGTATCCATATATATTCCAATAGATATCAAAGTTATAAAATCAATCTTACCGTAAAATCTGTGTAACTAACTGACTGATAACTACCTGGTCTTTTGGTGAATTAGATAACTTTATTCTCCATTCCAATAACCATTTCTACAATATCAAATTAAACCATTATATGTGAAGCAAATTTTGTAAGAAAAAAATGTAATTTTAAGCCTTACTTTTTTAAAACATTTTTCTCCTGAAATGAATGGAGTTTTATTTTCCTGCACCTTGTGGGCTAATGAAGATGGGCAATGTCATGCAGGGTGCAATGAGGGAAATTTTGCTTAATGTACACAGCCTGTTGCACATGGGGTTTATTGTCCCATCCATGTCAGCCCCTTTTACCTGAATCACTGACAGGGGGAAAAATCTGAAGGTATTATCTCAACATATGCTGGGATTGAACCCAGGACGTTCAGGTTAGCAAAGCGTCTAACTTACAGAGCCACCAGAGCTTCCTTTTCTCCCGAGAGCATATTATTTCATGCCCTATGCAATCAGGATTGCTTATTTTCATGATAGCTTGACAGAAAAGGTACATATACCCACTACAGCAGCTAAGAAGAAGCAAAACCCTCTCAACTATCTCAATAAACAAAATTTCAAACTTAAACTTATACCAAACCTCATCCCAACTGTTTGAAAACTTAAATCTCTTTGGTTTTAATACTCCAGTTAAACCTTTCAATGAAGCATTGTCAATTAACACTTAAACTGGAGGGTGTTTGATTAATGTGCTTAAGTTTACACCAAAATATACACATAATTAATAAGCTTATCTATTGCTCTGTGACTCATCTCAATACACCCTAACACTAAAATATGAAACTCAAGAAGTTCTTAGCTATATGATTATCACAGAAAAATAAGGAAAACTCTGCAGGAATATTGTAAAAAATATAGTTACAATAGTTTTTAGAACATATTACAGGTTCTTTTTTATTCAATTCTAATCTTGCAAAAATATCCTTGTTATTCACTTAATTCATCTTATTTATTATCATTAATATCTTTTCATTTAGTGATTTTCATTTAAAATTTACCTTTATCAATAGCTGTTTTATTCATTATATATAAATCATATTCATTTATCTAATTCAATGCTTTTACATATCTCTCCATTTATGCAATATATCTTTCATTACAGTCAAACAAGCTATAATGGAACCGGTGATTCAGCGTCAATCTTCATTATTTTAAAGAAATTCATTTAAAAAGTTTTTAAGTTTAATTTTACTAATACCTGTTATTTATTCATTTCAAATCAAATTCAATTAGTTTCTGGGCTGTGTCTTTTTTTTTTTTTTTGATCAAATTCAAATCAAAATATTTTTTTTGAAAATCATTTATTTCATATATGTCCATTCACACTAGACTTCATCTTCATAAAGAATACAGACTATACAATATATTAAGTAGAAATATTAAAACAGAACTTCATAAAACATATTGTTGTTACTCTGAGTATTAAGTATATTATTAACTACCTTTTGACAGATAGTTTCAACAAATATGATAAAGTAACAATAGAATCACACTTACTGCTTGTTGCTCATACTCCAAAATTTTCTTATAGATTTGTCTTTGTTCTTGTTCTTCTTCAGACATACCAATAGGTGACATAAACCTCCTACAATAAACCAAAATTCACGTCTTTATATTGACTGACTTTTACCGCCTCAATCTGTCCACACAATAGTTTATTGTTAGTCGTATAAAACATGTCGTGTGGTCAGCGTTGCTATTGATTTCTTTTTCATTGTTTCAATTGATTTGAATGATATCTTTAGTTACTGCTTTATTATCAGTTTAAATAACCTTCCAGTTGTCAAATGTTGTTAAGAACTAAGATTAAATACATTGATACTTTTGACTCCAATTTGAATCTTTTGATTTATTTATTTTTTATTTTTCAGAAAAGATTCCCAAAAGGCAATTATAGAAAACTATATATCAAAAATAACAAAAACGTAACAAATATTGTAAATATCTATTTTGAAATAAAACAAAAATGTTTTTTTTCTAAACTGAATCAGTTTTAGCTCAAATACCACTTTGTAAAGCGCAACCTCAAAACATAATAACATTGAGATTCTTGAAAATTCTTTCTCATTGAACACAAACTCACTGTAAAGTCTTTTAAGAATTTCCTCATTAAGCATGAATTATCCTTGTTTGATACAAACTTTAGGCTAAAAATGCTTGAAAGAAAAAGTTTCTTACTCTTCTTTGACAAAATGGTCAGATATTTCAAAATATACTTGTAACCAAACATTCTAAACAATGTTAAACAATTTAACATGACTTTAAACTTTTGAGAAAAAATCTGAAAATCTCACCTGGCAGCCTGTTCATCCAACCTTCTCTGTGTTTCTTTCATCTTTTCAGATAACTGATTTATATTAAGGTATATATATAATAAATATCAATGTCCAAATCATGTTTAACCTACATTATATGATGATAGTATCTATCACATTATACATGCTTTTGTCTTCATGATTGTCTTTACTTCTAACCTGGGTTTATAAGATTATTTGCATGAATCTAGATATTTTGCTCTATAATTGCAATTGCAAAAAAACAAATTTGAAAAAAAAAACCAATTTGATATTTGGAAATTTTGTCTCATTTATGTTCATCTATGTGTACTCAGTAGATGTATGTTCTAAATTAATGTAGATTAGGTCCAAATACTTTAAGAATAATATGATATATAAAAAATATATAATAAATACAGAGGCAAATCTTTCTTAGACTAAGGTATATGTAAGAATTTTAAATAAGGACTATGGATATGATTTCTGTTTATTTGTACATAGTGTAGAAAGTTTCAATAATTCATACTGTTATATTTGCTGCATTTCTCACATATTTGATACTTTATTCTAACGATTCAATTTTCTTTTGGCCATTTGTAAAATTCAGAAAAAAGTGATGAAATATTTAAATTCACATCATATTCTGTCAAGCTGTGAAAATTAAAAAAGCAACAACCATACTTCATACTTCCTTGAGTGGCATTTAGTAATTGGATATGAATAACTGGACACAATTATATGGATAACAACAATACTTAAATAACTTGCAACGTTTCGACGATGATGCTTTCGTCTTTATCAAGTAGTGATATTACCTTCCATTGAAATATCACATGAAATATAATCTAAACTGAAACAGTGGGGATATTTGGACTGTCATTCAGGTCTACCTGATTATTCATATGTACTATACTAACATTTGATTTGAGAAGACAGTTGATTAAGACAGATATAACCAGTGTCCACCACACCCTACATATAGTTGACCTTTGACTGACTTTATCCTAATTACATCTTATATATTCATGATGTCCAACAATTTTCTTGACGTATAGGCACATACTTTGATTTAGACATTTTTAAATTTGGGATATTGTGGTTGGAAATTCTAGGAAATAAAGAGTGTTCATATTAAATCATAATAATCAAAATAATAGCCTTAACATGTACCTTACAATACCAAGATATATTTTCATATACAAAGGATACAGCTCTTTCTTGTGCATTAGCAATGGCCAAGTTCTCAGCCAGTTTTCTTTGTACAGTCAAACTCTGAATAAGAAAGAAAATAAATATTTAAGATTTGACTTTAGTCTCCAACTTTAACTTCCAAAATGGGTCTATTCCCTGAAAGTAGAAAGATATGGGGGGTATAGTGAGTTGGATGCTTGTTTATGTCATAATCATCACTATTTAAAAATTATATTCATCTTCTTAATTATTTGAAATAAAGGAAAACAAATTTTACCATTTTTTTCCCTTCATAATCGTTTTTTAAAGGTTTTTTATTGTTGTAAATGCTTCTGATGTAAGTTATCAAAATACTGAAAATTTTAAATAGATCACTGTCATCGGAATATTAATTTTGAATAAAATGATATATCCTATACATACCAATCTCTATGTTTATACTATCAGAATTCATTGATCAGCTTTAAATAGCTATAAAATACTGATGTAATAACCAAACCTACTATAATTATTATATAATCTGATTACAACCCTGGTATGATGAAATTGCCTATTTATATGCTTTAGGTGTGACTGTAATGACTTTAGATTATGATTAGTTTTTACAAGTTCTGCCTATTTGGCATCATAATTAGAAGAATTATAACCAGAAATACTTAACTAAATGTGTATGTAATTAAGATTTGAAAACTTGTTTTTATTACATTGAAAAGTTTTAAGGCCGGTTGATACTCCGCTAAGCCAATGAGCAAAGCGCAGGTTTTTCTTTGCACAAGCGTTGCAAGCTTCAAAACTCAGTTATGAAGCAAAGTTTGACCTTCGCTGTACATTCACAAGTTCATTTTCATGGTTGACAAAGGAGTAGGGTGTGGTCCTACTTTTTCTCTTCACTTTGGTCTTTGCAATCAATGAAAGACAGGCGAAACAAACTGACATTGACAGATTTGTCTTGAAATCCTGAAGCTCAGCGATGCATAGCCAATCAAAGCTTTGCTTCGCTCTTTCTCTTAGCGGAGTATTAACTGGCCTTTTGGAGCTCGTAAACAGTTGTTGACTTTATAACATACCTTATAATCAATTGAAATATTTCTGTGTATCGACAATGGCAATGATATCAAATTCTTAGTTTATCAACCAAAGGAATTTTCAACATTTTGTCACAAAATTTTGTGATGGTCTGTCTAACTATCTTACCAGATGTCTTCAATACATGGAATGGTTAATACATGGAATGGTAGATAGCGTGATATTCCCAAGTTCACGTTTATTCCTTTTTGACAAGAGAGAAGAATGTTTGATTGACTCAGTAGACGAATCTGAGATTGTGGTCAAGAATGGTTATCAATAGTGACGAGAGAATCCTTCTACACAGCAATGGGGTCTACAACAACAACAAGATAGCTTGCCAGGCAAGGTAACATACACCCACTACAAGCTGTCAGAAAATCAACAGTTTTTAGTGACTTAAATATGAATTTTACTATTTTAAAAATAATTATGTATCATATTTATTCCAAAATTATTTTTTAAAATCAAATAGTAATAACCCATAAGCCCTTCATCGAAAAAAATCAAATTTATACTTTCTCAAATCAATATTAATGATCACACCAAATTTCATCAAAATCAGATGAAGACGGTTGTTTCTTTTGAGCTCATAAACCAATTTTGACCCTTGATGTCAAGGGCCATAACTCACAAACTTTTCATTGAATTATTGTCAATTTGAATCAGTCCAATATCAATATACATGATCACACTAAGATTCATTACAATCAAACAGTAGTCTCTATTGTGTTCACAAACAAACAAACACGTTTTTCCAAAGTCAAGGGCAATAATCAAAAAACGTCCATCAAAAATCATCAAATTCTGACTTGTCCAAGATCTGATCAATATAAATCATCTCACAAAATGTCATTAATCACGGTTAAAACTGTAGTCTCTATTGTGTTCACAAATAATTGTTGACACATTTTTACTAAGTCAATTATTATAACTAAAAAACTGTTCATCAAAAATCATCTTATTCAAACTTGACCTAGATCTCATAAATATAAATCTTCACACAAAATTTCATTAAGATCGAATGTAGTCTCTATATAGCGCTCAAGAACAGCGTTTTTACTAAATCAGGGCAATAATTCGAAAAACGTTCGTCAAAAAATTGTCAATTTCAAATCAGTCCAAGATCTTATGAATATAAATCATCACACTAAATTCCATTAAAATCAAATGAAAACTGTAGTCTCTATTGAGTTCACAAAAAGGTTTTTTTTAGTCAAGTGCAATAACTCAAATAATGTTCATCAAAAACTCTACAAATTCGAACTTGACCAAGTTCTCATGAATATAAATCATCATACCAAATTTCTGTGCACTTTGAGACCCCTCAGCACTTTGACAAAAGTATAGAAGTGTTGTGTCAGAAACTAGATAGTCGTGGTAAATGTATCCGGTTTTGTATCATCTTTGCCATGTCATTCACAAAGCTAACGGTGACCTTATCAGTGTGTGAGCCAATTTTTTATTGCAGGTACAGCACAGTTAAGATGCCTTTCAGGTATGACATGGCTATTCTAAGTTCTTGATACGAACAGTTTACCAAGATCTGCTGTAAAAACTGTTGTTCCATATATCAGGTTAGAGGATTGTTTGTTAGAACTCATTAAGCATGGTGGGATCGTCATGAGATCACTGATGGACGCCCATACCAAACCCATAGATCTTATAAGTTTGAACCTTCCTGACAGACGCCATAGCCGTCATTGGAACGAATTATTGTTGCAAAGTTCATTAGCTGCTATTAATGTTTTGCTAAACTGTTATTTTGGATGTCAGGTTTTTAAAAGTGGTTTGGACTGCTAATCCTTTGGTTTTATATTTGCAGTATGTGAGTCAAGTTTTTAATTTTCCAGCATTTTCCTCACCTGTCACCTGACTTAGTATTTTGAGTCACCCACAGTGTAGTGGGGTATAACAAAAGCTAGACCTCAAATTTAAAGTACTCTGAAAGGTATTAGGTAGATACAAACGCTTTGAATAGCTTGATAGCATCTGTAGCCTTTAGAAGAATGGAAGAGTCTTCACATTAATTGTAGTAGTCTAATTATCGTTAACCTAAATTAATCTCACACATTACCTCTACTATTCTTGTAAATTTTAACAGAATTCCTCGTGTTCATAAGAACATACAAATGAAGTTAGCTGATCATGTCAAATTGCTGATGATCTATATTTTGACACCCTTAATAAAGTCACATGATGTCAAAATCATATGACATTTTGTCAACAAGTGATGAACTTCGAAATGGCGTATTGTTACCATTACAAGAGAAAAATAACATTAAAGTTTCAAAATATTAATAATTTGATAGAGTAAGCCTAAAAAAAAGAACTGTACCTTCACTATCTTGTTAAATAACAAGTATATGTTTATATTCACAAATACCATTTTGAACACAAAATATTAGTAATGTTCACAACTCAAACTCATAGTAACTGTATTTTCATTTTATTCCATATACAAGACTATTTTTTTTTTAATCTCTATATAATATATTAGTATTCCATAAAGCCCTCCAATAAACTGTTCTCTTCAATCTGCTTTCTTTTGAATAAATATCCATTCCAAGTTGCTAATCACTTTCATAAATCCAAATTTAACATTAAAGAATTTTAAAGATTGGATATAAAGTGTGTCAGAATTGCTTCCTTTTATCTATCAATCAGTGTTATATTTTAACTATATTATTAGTGTTTAATTACATAATAACTGGGCTTGGTTTCTCATCAATGACATTAATAGTAGCTTATACCTTTAATCCTTTTCAAATTGTATCTTGTAAATCAACACTAAAATTTGCAGTGATCACAAATTAATCAGTTTGAACATATCTATGGGATATACCTAATTAACAGGTGTTTTTGAAGTGGAATTATATAAATACATTTTGCTTTAACTTCTTAAAATACTAGTTTATGTTATGTCGTGTACTGGCCTGGGGAAAAGACTCTTTGTATAAAATATTGTAATGGAGATGCAACCATTATCACTATTGTGATTAAAACAAATTGGTACTGTTTTGATATAAACCTGTCAAATATGACATGCTAGGTATAAGCAAGGTTTTCTACAATACTATTAACTGTTAGAATAACAATACATTGCTGTAGTATCTGATCAGAATTGTTCTGGTAACAATAGTATTAGCAGTTGAAGCCATGAAACTGTATCTGAACTAACAATTGCTTCATTCTGACTTCTATGACTCTATTCCAGCCCCTGATAGATTTATCAAATGGTATAATAAACAAACAATACATAAAATTTATCTCAAAGTTTCTTAACACTTTTAAAAAATTTAACAAGTTTCACTGCAGAAACATCAGAGAACATCTTTCCCCTTCTTTTCTCACATTCCTTCTTTTTTTTTTTCAGTTTTCCAACAGTTATTAGATAACCAAACCAAGACAAACCAAACCAAAGCAAACCAACAAACTACCATCCGACTACCAATCAACAAGAGTTACCATGATCAGAACGAGTTTGGAAGAATGAAGGAGATCGAGTAACTCACGCCACACCAACCAGGGTCGAGTTTCACCGCCATGTCATTCGACCCGACCAGATCTAACGAAGAATCAACAACCAAACCAACAACACAGAATCATCCAATTTGAACCAATCCAACTACCAACTACTACGACTACCAATGACTACCTAGTTTACGATATCAGCATCCGCTGGAAGCGAATGTTAACTTGTCATCTACCAAACAACCATGTAATTTAGCATTTTCCAAAGAGGAATTTTGTGAATTTATTTATATCCATTCTTCAGTTCACATATACATAGAAGTGTCGTCAGCAAACAGGCAAACTGAGGACTTGATATCATTCCTTTTCTCATTTATGATGAATAAAAGTATCCAATACAATGTATTTTATGGTTTACTATGCACTGTCTGTTTTGTAATTTGTTGGTTGAATGTTTTGTGTTTGGGTATTTTGATCAATACATTTTTGGTTAAATTATCATTATATCTACTTACCAAATTGGCAGCCATTGGATTATTCTTACTCATAGTTGCTAATCTTGCTTTATATGCTCTCATCAATGACTGATTTTGACGGTAAGCTATTTCTGTTGGTGATAAATTTCTGAAAAAATACAAGTTAAGGCACATTTAAAAAGGTTAAAGTACAACAATGTAACAATGATGTGTTGCAGTAGGTCAAACACATTAAGAAACTGATGTCTTAATTCAAGAGCAAACAAAATCAATGAGAAATACTAATGAGTCAAAAAGACCAAAGTGAGGGAGGGAGGGATATTCATACATAAATACATTTTATAGTAATAAGCTTCAGTGATTTTAATAGACACATTGTAAATTAGAAATAATATGATTACATTCACTTAAAAAATAATAAAAATGAGGAATTCTTTGACATTTATTGTTAAAAAATAATCACTGAGATACTAGGGATAACTAATGATGTCTCTTACAATTTCTATTTAAATTGTAAACCTAAAAAATGGCAGAAAAAAAATACAGATTGGATCCAATATTTCAATTATATAATCCAATTCAATATTCATTTAACAAGAAAAAAGAGGATTATATAATCATCTCACCAACTGTTAGTTCTTTAGAAATCTCAAATAAATAATGAAGGAAGAGTTATGTTTGAAATCAATTCATTGTCGAATTGGTTGCTCCTTTCTGATGTGATTTCAAAATCAAAGACAGAACTCCCAATCAGAATCAAATTTCACAAACCAACACAACGTTAGAAAACAATTTCTTCAAAAGGTTATGAAAGCTGGCTCAAATCCTATAGAAATCACAATGCTGAAAACAATTCTATATCCCAAAAACTACGATTCAATTTCTGGATGGATTCCAGATGTCACTAATCGAGAAGTTTTAAAAGAACCGGTATGAAATGTTCCTAATGATGCAGATGAAGCTAGAATGAGACTTATTGCTCGAAACACAATAGAAAGAACAGGACGAGCAGTTAACCATAGATTTTAAACAAGAGTATTTCAGTACAACAATATAATAGAGGATGGTAGTTGGGGTAATTACGTAAATTGGAAATTATATCCATTATTCGGTCTGTTGGAACACAGAAAGGTTTCCATAGCATTACTATATAAAATTCATCTACAAAGAGAAATCAACGATGATAAGATATTCTTTGGAGAGAATAATTCAAATTCAAAATTAGAAATAACGAATCTCCAACTTTACATACCCGTAATAACACCATCAATTGAAGTAAAAACGAATACATTCACCAAGTTGACTAAAGATATTAAAATAGCTTTTCTTCGTCGTAACACGGTAGGTAGCATGACTTTGGAGAATCCACCACTTGGCCAATCATCAATACTGTTAAACCAGCAGGATATTTAATGGTTGATTTCAAGAACTTACCAGACTCTCAAACGAATAACAATAATATCTTTAGAGTAGCAATGAACCAAACTCAAGATCCTTTAATCCACCTCAGTTTGAATATGTAGATTTTGCACTTAATCATCCAATCTTCTGTTTTGAACTATCAGCTCATCAAGAAGATCTTTTCAAAACAGGAGTAAATATGAATATTCATATCGAAAAAATACAAGAAGTAAACGATTACTGTTTGTTTTTGGAAGAAGCAAAATATTTAATTAAAATATCAGATAGAAGAATTGAAAAAATATCCCCTTAAAAATGAAACCAGATACTTAAGTGAAAAAGATAGCCCACCAGCAGCTGAATGCAAGTACAAATCATTGTTTGAGCCAAGTGTGAACAGACGGACAGTTGACAATATGCTTCCATACTACGTGTGGGCATATAAAATCAAAAGAATCCATAAAAAAATTGTTGTCTTAAGAGTAAGCAAAAGTTACAGATCATCACGAACATCAATAGGGATCATCTTCATAATGACATTGACCTAAAAATAAAAATCAAAAGGATCTGTAAAGAACTGTAGCCTGTAGAGTGAGCACAAGCCAAATGTGAACGGCCCGACGGATCACAAGGGTGATTACATTATAACCGAAGCTGTAGACTACATTCAGTTTGCCATTACGTCACTATCAGAATCTATAGTCTATATCAGATAAGCTATTAACGATTAGCGCCGCTTGCCGTCATAAATTCAATGCATACAATTATGAAGACAGATGGCGCTGTTTGATATTCGAGAAATGTATTTGGTGAAATGTTAAGCAACATTTGTTGGGCATGATTTATATTTAAAAATTTTTAACCGAAGAAATGTAAAGAGACACGTGTTTTAAATTTAGCTTTAATAGTAAAAATAAGTAGAATTATGCTTATACAAATTTTACTTGACAAATTATTGATTTAGAGAACAAATTTTGATTTTTATGAACTAATAATCATTTTGTGAAATTTTTTTGTCAAAAATGACCAACAAATGAAGGCGTGGGATATAAGCATAACGGGCTAAGGATTAAGGACTATTAAAATTGGGTTGTTCGGTCTTCCATAGATACAGACTTGGAAAGAATTTACACGAACGCAAAGGAATTAGATGGATTAAAAGAAAAGAATCCATCTTTCAATTCAATCTTACGAAAAATTTAAATGATCTGAACTTGTCTAAAGTTGATAGTAACCAATAGTCTTTGACGACTGTGATGCACCAAACTATTTAGATTTCGATTCTCTATATATCTACACAACAACACCGGAGGTAACAAATAAGAAAGTTGGTTATGCGCATGCGCACAACAAAAATTCGACATTTTCATCAAATTTAGAATTGGATTATACACATTACATACCAAGTTTGAAGAAATTCGGATAAGAAATAAGAAAGTGGGTCAATTAAGCCATAGACATGGTTCCAGGGTGCTTCAGTAAGTTCAATTTAACCTTTTAATCCACCACAGAACATCCTTGTATGGCAAACTTGACATAGTGCATTTATGACCGAAATTGGGGAGAATGTTACTTTAGCGACATATCAAACTCAGGAATTTTATCTATACTGACATCTAATTAACCAACTTAAATATGATACCACAATGTTAAACGAATGGAGTTTCAAAATATTCATGTTACATAGACATCTTATATATCACTGGAAAGCTCAGAATCTCTACATTACAAAATCGAAAGAATTATTGCTATATCTCTATTAGGCTTTGGGATCCAGTACTGGAAAGGTTCAAGTGGACCATTTTGAAACCCCTGTAAAATCCAAAATAGTGCTTTGACCCCAAAGGTCAAAAGATTAACATCATAGTTAACAAGAAGGTCAAGGTGATGGATATATGCCTTCAAAAAAAAACATCCAGTCGTACACAAAAAGCCAAACCGAAAATGGAAATTCAGGCTTCTAGACGACCTAAATAAACATTCAATGTATCCTTTGACACCAAATTTTTGCAAATCAGATAGACCATGGACTGTCTGTACTTATATTTTCACTTCGCTAATTTTAAGGGGATTAAAAAATTTCAAGCTAAGTTTTTGATTTTGCAATGCTAAAGCCAAGAATCCATGTTCCCAAGCTGAAATTCTGCCAGTTTGCATCAGGTGCCGAAAATATGGAACTTAAATATATTCGCATGACCTGTTCACCTCTAATCTAATTATCAGACCGATATCAAACTAATCAAATGCCGTTATTCTGATATATAACTCTGGCTGGTTGACTTTTTCTAGTTCGGTGAGGTCAACTTTCTGTAAACAATCTGACTGACAAAATGAAGTGTTCATGCAAAAGTTATTCAATTTTCGGAATTTTGCAAAAGTTATTCAATTTTCGGAATTTTGTTGGACAAGAGCCATATCTTTTGCAAAGAATGCATTTATCTGGGAAAAGGGAAATACAGAAAGATGTATTTGCAGGTAAGGAAATAAAACTGGATTTCATACACGACATCGGTTTGTTGACATATTTGCTTTGGACGCTCGTAATTTTTTTCTATAAAAAGTTCACATATATAGCCAAAAGTAAGGTAGAGTCAATATCCTCGTATTAGGCTTACTCAAAATTGTGGTGTCTGCGTTATGCCAACTTTTTCTTTTTGTAGAGATCGTGCTTGCATTACTGCATGTGTGTTAAATGAAAGTATTTGAATTATCTCCAAGTTTAGCATTTTTGAATGTTGAGTGTATTTTTGTTATTAGCTTTGTCTAACAGTTTTTTTAACTGATTTATAACATCTGGGGAGACTGCACCATATATTCAACAAATCCTGAATATATTTCATAGCTTATTAAAGTTCTAGATTTGTATAGAAATCAAATCAAAATGTGTATCTTTAAAAGCTGAAATATGGAGTTGTGGCACTTTCTGAAAATGGGAACATGGATTTTTAGTTAGCTATAACATACAGGAATAGATTCTAGGTGAGAAAAAATAATCTCCAGGTGGTGCTCCAAAAAGTCGTTTTTAAGCACATTTGAGAGGCACAGTCCATGGCCTAAGATAACAAATGGCTTACGAATAGGAATTTTCCCGAAATGAGGCAAACCAATATGGCTGCATAACTTTCACTTCCTGTATGTATTTTTTCAGATCAAAAGGTTTGTATCAAATATACTAATATTATACATGCTATTTTTGACATAACCCAGAAGTACTAACATCGAAACCAGAAGTGATGCAAAATTTTTTAGTGTATAGAATTATTTATTTTTGCTGGCGGTCAACAACATATAAGATCAAATCGATCCATCAAAAATCAGACGAAATGGATTTCGATTTAATTTCAGCAAAAAAAGTATGAAACGAATATTTGAAAATCGAAAATTTTCAACTGCTATCATGTGTCCTTTGTATTAAGAATTACAAGAAAGGAAACCTGAGCAAATTCGGTCGATAAATACGCCCTCTAATGTCCATTTACCTTATGTTGCTAACGTTCCATCATGTCGCTCAGAAAATTTTCCTTTTTACATTCATACTGTGATTAGCCACAAGTCTGAACTTCTTTTTGAACTGAAGTATATATATTTGTTACAGCATAAAATTTAAAAATGTTCTTTGTCTTAATCGATTAATTCATATGTTGGATGTGATGTGCTATTTACTTTATCTAAAATAAATATTTCAGTAACCAACATAACCCTTCTCGAATTTTCTTTTATATTTGAAAATACGAACACAATCTCCAACTTTAACCTTTTTCTTATGTCTATATTTTTTTATTTCATTTTCAAAATGATTAAGGTTAGAAGAAAACTTTATATCTGGATTTTGACTAGCTTCTATTGGAGAAACTTATTGTATTCCGATACCGTAGTGGGTAAAATCTTTAACTATTTTTGAGACTTTAGTTCTGTGAATTTTTTAAACAGTTTTGATATAAGTTTCCTGTTACTTACTACAGCTTTTTCCCTCGTTATGAGTGCTGTAAATTTCATACCCGAGTAATTTTACATTTCTGTTATAAAAATCTTTTCCTGCATCAACCCATAATTTCTGTGGTTTTCTACCAGATTGTTTCATGATCGTTTCAAACGCATGTTTGACTGATAATCCTATTTTGTTTTCTAGAGGAATAACCCAATCATATCTTGTATATAAATGTATTTCAGTTAAACAATATTTATATCCTTTTTCAATATTTTCAATTGGTATATTAATTAAATCAGCTGACCATATTTCATCTTTGTCAAATATTTTAACTTTTAAATAATGTTTGTTTTTTCTAAATTCTTTATGAATTTCATCTGCTAATCCCATACCCAATTTCATCTTTGCTTTTAACATTTTTATAATCAGTGCTCTTTGCATTTTCTCTTAAAATTTTGGATTTGGAATATTTTTAAGTTCGTGTATCATTTGTTTGTTTGACCAGTATAATTATGACCTGGAAGATGTTTTTCTCCAGAATATTTAGCCAATGAAAAACCAGGAAGAGAACCTAATGATTTTTAAATATCTGAATCAAAATAACTTTGTGCAATTATCAGACATTCTTTATCCTATAACTTTAAAACCTTTTCCTTGTTTTTCTAAAGCTTATTTTACTATTCTCATGTTTCTTAGTTCTCTTATTTGTTGTAACTCTTTCAACTTTTTCACAGCATCGCTTATACTAATTCCTGCTTTAGCAACAGAACCTAGAGCTTACGCTTCAAAAGAAATAAGAGATTTGTTGTTTGAAATAAAGCTAGCTACTTTTGGAACTAGAGAAGATAGTGATGAGATGAAACCATCTCCTGAATAATCAGTTTTGAATTTTTCTTGTTCATGCTTTAAAATTCATTATATGCCTTTTTTTTTAATGGGTTATTGTGGATTCGACGCATTGAATTTAAAAAGAATATGATGTATTTGTAGATTTTTTTTTTTCTTCTTTGATGCAGTGTTAATGCAATGTATTTGTAGTTTATCTTTATAGATTTGTAGTTTATATTTATAGATTTGATGTTTTTGTAGTTTATATATGATGTATTGAATTTAAAAGAGCATTAATATGATGTATTTGTAGGTTTATCTTTATAGAATTGATGTATTAACAATATGTCAAATCTGAAAAGACTATAACTACTTTTCTCTTATGGTATTTTTGTCAATTGCTACATATCAATGTTAACTAGGGTGGGTTTTAAAAGCCAACCGCCTACCGCTGCCAACCGGCATATCCGAATGAAAAAAAGGCGCTAAAATGATCATAGATTTTCATACTACAAAACGAAACTATTCAATTTGACAGAATTTTTGTTGACGTCAATATTATGGAATCAAAATCATTTTAAAAATGAAACGAAACAAATTAATATTTCTTTTCTTGCTTTGAGATAGGTTTGTTTTATAATATGCTTCAATGGACTTACCTGGTTTATTAATTTTACAACAGAATCTCTCAATAGGTATAATCCAATAAATCTTAAAAAGTATCAAACTGAGATGCACATTTTTTTAACACCAGCACTGGTAATTGGTACTAAAAATGACACAACTAGGTCATGTGCGTTCTCGTAGGCGAAAAACACTTGCTCATAATCATCGGGTCATGTAGGCTAGACTTTTTACATCCGACAGGTGAACGCAACAGGGTTTTCGTCAATTTCATCACTATTATACATAGTATGACATGAGAACAAATGAAAAAAGTATTCTTTTGAGGCTACCAAATTTTTTATCTTTAGCCTTAAAGGTTTGTATTTCAGTTATCATCTTCCTGAAATCAGAATACTTCGGATTGCCATGCTTATAATAAGTTTGCCTCATGACATGACAATCACCAATATTTTCACAGCTTTCGCCGCAACTTTTTCGATCAACCAACCGTCATCACCATGTGGTCTCGTTCCACCATCTCTTTCTTTAAAGGTTCTATAAATAGACACCTGATTTTTCCAAGTACTGGAAGTGTTCTTCCAGTCTTGGTGAAGATCTTTATATCGATGATTCTGTTAGATTAACAGGAGGAACATTCGCAGAATTAGTATAGTCTACGTCAAGGATTAATTTTGAAAAAATTCTTATAGGTGGAAGAAAGATTCCTTGGCCTTGATGCTCCATGTTCCCGACGACAGTAAAAAGTTAAGGGAAGTAACTCTGAAACAAACGACCTTGTTCAGTCGTTGTGATCATTAAAAAAAATCTAGAGGTTTTTGTACATTTTATTGTGTGTCCCATTTTATTTTTAAAAGAGATTATTGCTATTTTAAACACGAATTGAATCAGAAAATGTGAAGGAAAATATCTCAAAGCAAAAAAAGAAATATTAATTTGTTTCGTTTCATTTTTAAAATAATTTTGATTCCATAATATTGACGTCAACAAAAATTCCGTCAAATAGTTTCGTTTTGTAGTATGAAAATCTACGATCCTTAAATTTAACAATGCTCATTTTAGCGCCTTTTTTTCACTATGGTATGCCGGTTGGCAGCGGTAGGTGGTTGGCTTTTAAAACCCACCCATGTTAACTGTAGGTAATGACTTTCTGAATTCCCATGATACCTTTAAGCTGAATATCCCAGAAACTACAAGTCACTCAAAGAAATGCCAAAATAAACTTCAGGACAAAGAAAGTAGCAGTTGGTAATATAATTGTTGTCTTTGAAACAAACCTTTTTAATGAGAATGAACTACTGGATGGTTGTATGTGTAATGGAGGTACAGGAGCAGCAAATCGACTAATTCCACCAGATTTCTCTAATTCATTCCCATTCTTAATCTCAGCTTCATTATCTGAATATAAATAAAATCAAACATTCTTGATTAATCCAAAATATCTGAAAATATGAAAGAGTAGATTTCATAGAAAAATTTACAATTTTTTGAAAAAATTCCAAGAGCATAAAATATACAATTATGCGAAGATGGAAACAAGATAGGACAAGTGCCAGTGGCTATTTACAAAAAAGAGTGTAGTATAACATACACAATGTTTTAAATGTTTTACGAAGTATGGCGGAAACTACCGACTCACTTGCAGTTTTTGATGGCCAGTATTCAACACTATACTAAAAGAAGCATATATTTTATCAAAATGAATATTTACGTTTTAAACATTCTGGTATGTTTTTTAATATGTTAAAACAATACATAGAGCAGAAATTCACAATTCATTCATGTGGCACTTTAAATTGTTTTAGCAAAACATCATCAACTCTAACTATTCAGTAAATAATATACACAACTTGATCACCTTTGACTAATATCTTATATTGGCATATAATCATTATCAAACTATCTACTAACATACTAAGTTTCATCAAGATCGGATAGAAACTGCAGCCTCCAAATTGTGTCATTCATCTGTTTATTACTAAATTTGAAGTTGACTGCTATCTCAGCAGTGCATATATGCAAGATAGAAGTTCACATTTCCATGTGATCTTGAATAGTGAAATAGCAATTTTCATTCAACTTTGATTGAAAGTATCAGGCCATTAAAGTGAATATTAAGGAAGATAGCTTGCGAGGCAAGGTAACTGGCAGCTGTCAGAAATGATAAAACAGTCTTTAGTGACTAAAGTACAAATTTTATTAGTTTGAATTGAATTATATATATACATGCCAGTATTTTATGCTGAGTAATTCTACAAAATTTTTTAAAATCAATATCAATAACCCAATTACAACAAACAATTAAATCACACTGCTCTGACAAGAGCAAAAAACAACTTTTGACGCTTGTCAATGGCAATAACTCAAAAAACGTTCATAAAAAATATCCCAAGTTAGATCTTGTCTGAGATCTTGTCAATTCCAATGATCACACCAAGTTTCATCAAAATTGGTTGAAAACTTCTATTGTGCTCACGAACAAATTTTGACACGTTTTTACGAAGTCAAGGGCAATAACTCAAAAACCGTTCATCGAAAATGCGTCAAGTTAGAAGTTGTCCGAGATCTTATCAATTCCAATGATCACACCCAGTTTCATCAGAAACGGTTGAAAACTGTAGCTTCAATCCTGCTCACAAACTATTTTTAACAATTTTGAAGCATTTGTACAAATTCAAGGGCAATAACTCAAAAACATTTCATCGAAAATGAGTCAAGTTAGTCCGAGATCTTATCAATTCCAATGATCACTCCAAGTTTCATCAGAATTGATTGAAAACTGTAGCTTCAATCCTGCTCACAAACTATTTTTAACAAATTTTGACGCGTTTTTACAAAGTCAAGGGCAATAACTCAAAAACCGTTCATCAAAAATGTGTCAAATTAGAACTTGTCTGAGATCTTATCAATTAAAAGCATCACAACAAGTTTTATCAAAATCAGATAAAAACTGCAGTCTCTATAGTGCTCACAAGAAATGTTGACGGACGGACGGACGGACCGACAGACAGGGGTGACGGCAATATACGACCACATATTCATGTGGGCGTATAAAAAGCGTCTCGATTCACAAACGGCAACTGCACTCCTTATTTGGCATATATGGGCAGGATCCAATATCTTTCTAATTGGAATCACCACATTATAGAAATATTCCACAATTCAAAAAAAATTTCATACTTACTAAATTCATGAAATAATGTAGATATTCTATCCATACATTGTTTACCCAACATAATCTGTTTCTCAACATATGCTGTCACCAACACCTTATCTCCTAAAATCCAACAGTAATATAGATATATTGATATTGATATAGAGCTGATATGTCAAAAGTTACCACCAACAAAACATTTTCTGTTCTTCAAGATATACCTTTATCCACCTGTGCTGGAGCAAATCTTAGAAAGTTTAGATGTTTTAAAAAAAGAAAATACGTTCGGTATTTTTTCAATTATTTAAGAGAACTTATATATCAAAGATATGCTGTGTTAATTAGTTGCAAATACATCATTAGCTTCTGGTGTGATTGATGTTTAATGTGAGCTACCTTTCGTTCAATATTTTGATCAAACATACTAGAATTTCATCTTTTGATCAATCATACTAGAATTACATCTTTTGATCAATCATGCTTGAAATTCATCTTTCGTTCAGTCATACTTGAATTTCATATTGCCACATCCTGAATCTAAGGAAACCAAACTACTATCACTGACTATTTTCAGAAGTAATTTGTTGTATTGTTATTGAAATGTAATAAAATAAAATCTGGGTTCTTCACGATGTAATAACCCTATAAAGTACACGTCTTTCACATGTTGCATACATATATGTGACACTTGGCAGGTGTCCAAATAGGAAGGGACATAACTCTATTGAGGCATGGCATGTTTCAAATATCCGGAAATTCATTGAACCACATGATTTTAATGTCAACAGAAGTGTGCAGATAAACACTCCACTGTATATTACATAATGTAATCATGACATAAGTAAACTTACCATTACTTCGAACATTCTGTAGCAAATTACTAGCTATACTCAAAATACACTCTACATACTGTATATAGGCTGCCTGAAATTACAAGAGTAGAGTAAAAAATGACCAAAAACATGCATTTTCGTTGAAATCAGACATACTACGGCTTTACAAGATAAAAACAAAAACATACTAGGTTTCTGAAACTTCAGTTTTTTACGTTTCAGTTTGATTAAGCTTTCACATCAAATACACTATTTACTTCAGCAAAAGGATGGTCATGAAAAGTCTAAATAAACTGGAATTAATATTGCAGAGAGGAGCAGTTGTTTACCATGTAAAGATCTCCCTTTTTTATGATACATCACTCATTGTTCTTAAATATTCATACTGCTCAATGTGTCAAGCATTCTTTACTTAAGCTTTTTGTCTGAATGTAGACATATTTAAAGTAATGTAGAAAGATAGCTTGCCAGGCAAGGTAATATACGCCCACTGGCAGCTTGATTTTGAATAAAAATATTTAGCAGTATAGTAACAATTACCAGTATGAAATATTCAACCTTCAGTTATACACTTCTTTTGAACTCTATAATACTGAATAACATTGAGTATGAGTTTTTGCCCTTGTTCTTGAAAACGTGTTCAAGCAAATGAAAACTCTAGAAGACCAATATTCAATCTTCAGCACTGTACTGAATAACAAAACCAAGTTTTGTCAAAATCTGACAAGAATCATGCCTTTTAGTGTTTAAGAGCTAAAATTTGAAAGTGTTTTCAAGAATGAAGTCAATAACTACTATGAAACATTTTTTGATTTTTTAGATTTTCGATAGAGTTCATCCATGGGTGATAATAAACAATTTGACCAAGTTTCGTCTAAATCTGTTAAGAATTGAGCTTTCTAGAATGTTTACGAGCTAAAAATTGAACATGTTCTCAAGAACATGGGCAATAACTCATACTAAATATTTTTCTGATTTTCGATAGGGTGTATCCTTGGGTGATAACGACCACTCACACCAAGTTTCGTCAACATCCGTCCAGAATTGTGCCTTCTAAAGTGTTCACAAGCTAAACTTGAACGCATTTTCAAGAACAAGGGCAGTAACTCATACTAATCATTTTTCAATTTTTCTGATTTTCAATAGGCCTTATCCTTAAGCGATAAACACTCATGCCAAGTTTCATCAAAATCAGCCAAGAATTGTGCCTTCTAGAGTGTTTACGAGCTAAAAATTCAACGCGTTTTCAAGAACAAGGGCAATAACTCATACTAAATATTTTTCGATTCTTCTGATTTTCAATACGGTTCATCTGTGGGTGATTACAGACACTCATGCCAAGTTTCGTCAAAATCTGTCAAGAATTGTCCCTTCTAGAGTGTTTACAAGCTAAAAATTGAACACGTTTTCAAGAACAAGGGCAATAACTTATACTAAATATTTTTGATTCTTCTGATTTTCATTAGGTTTCATCCTTGGGTGATTACGAACACCCACACCAAGATTTGTCAAAATCTGTCAAGAATTGTGTCTTGTAGAGTGTTTCGAGGAATTGTGGACAGACATGGGTGACGGTAATTTCATGTGGGCATATAAAAAGGAGCACACAAATTTAATTGTTTAAAGAATACAATTAGAATTTCAAACCTTAGGGTTTAGGGTCATGCCTATACAGATAAGTGAAGGAAACAAGATCATTGAATTTGATATAGCCTGTATCAGATCAGTTTGAATTTTGCTGATGAACAGTGTTTGAGCTGTTGAAATTGACTTAAAATACTTCAAAGTTTGCCTGTGAATTGGTCAGGGACAGTTTTGATCATATCTTTATTAAACATGGTAGGCTTGGGGTTTTGTGATCAATGGATAATTTCATATATTTATTTTTTCACTTTTTTTTTTTTTTAATTTCTTTATAAATTGTATAAATTAATATTTGTTCCAAAAATAATATATATTTTTTTCAATTATAGATTGGAAGTGAAGGGCCAGTATTGATACCTACCTGGTGGTTTTGTTCATCATCTAATTTTAAAGCTTCTCCAATTCCTCTCATAACCTTCATAAAAGACTGCTCCATATTTCAGCATTTACTAGTGGCAACTATTATTTCTATCATTGATCCTGAAATGGGCATAATCACACAGTAGTATAGGATTTTCAATAGGATTCTCCTTGGCTTGGGAGATCTTAAACAATAACTTTCGTCAAAATAGGTCAAAAGTTGTGCCTTCTATTGTGCTTTTGAGCTAGAAACTAAACATGTTTTCAAAAGGAAGAGCAAATACTCGTGTAATTTGAGTCAGTAATTTCATGTGGGTGTATAATTAGTTCACAACCATGCAATTATTGTGTATTGAATACAATCAGAACTATCTTATTTCTGACTCTTGAAAGACACAATGTTATTGCTATTTAGCCTTTTAAACAAATAACATCCATGAATTATAATTATAATAATTATTATTTTCACAAGCAATACTGTTTTAACCCTAGTTTTGAAGGACAAATCAATTGTAAGTTGCCAGTTGAGTCTATGGGCAATTTCCTTTGATGTCCTTTTATGTTTGTGAATATAAAATATCAGTGGGAATCTCATAGATGAGCAAGGTCACATTTTGAAAGATAGCTTGCCAGGCAAAGTTATATACGCCCACTGGCAGCTTTGATTTTAAATAAAAATATTTGGCAGTACAGTAACAATTACCAGTATGAAATATTCAACCTTCGGTCATACACTTCTTTTGAACTTTTTGAGGTGATACTGAATAATATTACCAAGTTTCATCAAAATCTGTCAAGAAACTTGAACTCGTTTTGAAGAACAAGGGCAATAACTCATACTAAATATTTTTCGATTTTTCTGATTTTTATAAGGGTTCATCCTTGAGTGATTACGAACACTCAATGCCAAGTTTAGTCAAAATCAGTCAAGAATTTTGCTACTAGATTGAAAAAAATAAATTGAAAATGTTTTGGAAAACAAAGGCAATGTCTCATATCAAATATTTTCCAATTTTATTTCATGTGGGCGTATAAAAATAGCCATTTAAGAAAATTCAATTCATTCATACAATTGCCCTGGACGTCATATTCACTTCATTTATTCAATTGACCACTATAATTCGTAAATATATAAATAAATATTATCAATAATCTTGATATACATCGATAAGGAAATTGGCCGATAATCTCTGGCATTATCTGGGTATCAATATATTGCACATTGGAGGTAACTCCAACAGAGGTCAACAAATAATTGTAGGCCATTTCATGTTGCCCAAATAGTTCAAATAGATTCAGAGTCAGGGAAGAATAACTAATGTTTATTTCCTTTTATTTGTTGTTTCAATCTTCAAAAAACTGTCCCTTTGCCCTACAAACTAACCTCAAAACTATATCTGCGATACCCCCCCCCCCCCTCCTCTCCACCCCTTCGCAGGCTCGTACAGGGGCTAAATTTCCGGGTGTCAAATTCTCAAAATTTTCTTGTGGTGGTCCCACATCATCTATACAAATAAATGTCAGGAAATCGCATCTTATGGTGTAAAATTCTCTAGAATTTTCTAAGTGGGTCCCCAGACTTCAGAAAATCATGTTTCCAGGCTTTCAATGGACGTCCTCGGCAGCAATAAAGATCCATTTTTACTGAGCGCAACTACGACTGCGAACGCAAATGCGGTGTTCGCATTGGATTGCTTAACCTGATTTTGTATGAGGTCGTTTATACTAGGGGCGAACGCGAATGTGGCAGAATTTCTGTTCGCGTGGAAAACCGTGGAGATTGTCTCCAGAGTGAATTTTTGGCAAAAGACTGCGAGAACTATTTACATTAGCCAATAAGAGTGTGAGGTCAAGGTTCATACCTGTCTGCCAGTTAACTCTGATCTCGTTTCATCAGCGAATTTACGCGCATAACGCTGCTTTCAATACGAACGATGATCCGCGCGAAAAGTCGCGGTCACTCTCAGTATAATTAGGCCTTAACAGATCAAAAAAGCCTAGTGCCAACAGTGGCTTATTTGGGGGGTGGTCTATTGGTCTACGATAAAACCACCCCCATCCGGCCTGTGAAAGGTCTTATTTAGAAGTGAAATTTAAGACCTCTCAAAATTCATCTCAGGCCTTCGTAGTGTGCCCTCTGCTCTATCCCTCTGACAGGCTCCTGAACCCTGGCCTCACGCGTTTTCTGTATACGCTCCTGCTAAGACCGACAGACATGGATAACGCATATTTACATATCTACATCCATTAGGCCAAGTTTCTCACCATCGGTGTAAAGGTAGTTTTCATTCCGAATTGTCAAGAGTAAACAAATCTTGTGTGTACAAAAATGATAAAAAAAAAAAACGCCTGGACATCCCAGACTATTAGATACAACAAGATTTTCAAAATTTTTAAATAAATTTCATATTTTAAGATGTCGTGTGATATTATCATGTTTTGTTAGAATATGTTGTTTTTGTAGTATTTCGAAAAAATAAAAAAGTTTTTGTAAAGAGAGACTAATTTACTTATTTAGGTCATCGAAAATTAACGAAGCGGGACACGGTTGCAAGATGGCGGACGAGGAGCCTATTTTGGTTGATGGCAAAACATTGAACGAATTAAGGGTAGTTGACTTAAAAAAGGAACTAGATGCACGACATCTTTCAAAGAGTGGTAGCAAGCAGCAACTAATAACACGCTTAAAAGCAGTAAGTCGGGTATTTCTAAAGCTTTAATTCGGTAAATTTTGAAATAGATTTTCCATTTTACATTATTTTGGTTTTTGACACAAGCGGCAATAATTATTTAGTCAGTGCTTGTTGAAAATATCCTGGGATAGTTATTTGTCCAGTGTATAATTCATAAAAGTTCCTGAAAATTCGCCTTGTAGCTTGTTTGATAGTATTGACAATATCTAGATATTGTATTGTTAATCTAGGCCCCATGTCTTACTCAATATTATCGTTTTTGCAACTTGTGTTATGCTTGGTTTTACTGTGCTACCCCATCTCACTTGGACTTGGGGCATTTTAGTCAAACTTATCTTCGAGGTAGCTTAAATCTAACGGTAAAGAAAACTACGTTATTCAGATTTAAATGTGTCTTTGAATTTGCTAATATGGACGTGCTTTAAGTTATGAAACGGATAAAGGCCGTCTTTTATGCAAAAATATCTGACTTATATCTATTTGGAAGGTCGCTTACGTGAACGAAAGATTGACCTAATTAACAGCTTCATACTGAGCAACCTCTGTATTAAGGCCACAAATGTTGATATTAGGTCGTTCATTTATTTCAGCAACTCTTGTTAGAAAAGTTACAAAACTCGCCAGTTGATCCAACAAGTAAGTTAAATCTCCCAAACTGGTACTACAATTTTCGATTGATAGTTTTCATAGTAGTCTAAAGTGCACAGGATTTTACTTTCCAGTGCTGAAAATCACAGAAAATTATCTGATCATCATGATTGGCATCATTGTCTTGAAATTAATGTAAACCCAAATACTAAGTATAAAAAGAATATCTAAAATAGTAGCTGTGCAGTGAATACATGATAAGACAAATAGATAGAAAGAATGTCATTACATGCGAAAAAAGTATGTGGGCAAATAAAAGCCCAAATAACCTGTCATTGGAATCCATAGGGCATAGTTTGTTTTGTAATTTTACATCTCAAATAAACACACTTGCCTCCAAGAAAATTTATGTGAAAATACCAGCAGAATTGATAATTGTGATTGCACTAAGTATTAATTAATAATTTTTCACAACATTTTGGCTTGATTTTGTTTCACATAATATGATCACAGTTATCTTTATATAGAATAGTTTACATGTTTTATACTTATTTATTTTCTTTTTTAGATAAAGTTCCTAATTCTGAAGTAAGCTTAAATTTCTTCTACATAATAAGGTTACAGAATGAAGTAAATTCAACATAAATTTGGAGAATTAATTACTCACAATGTGAACATATATTGTCATTTACTCGCTATATGATATTATGAACATCAGACCAGTTTCCACTCATAACACTTTGGACATAGATAACATCCCTGGGGCTAAAATTATTGGAAATAAAGAGTTTAAAAGAGGGTTGAAGGTATTCAAAATGAAAAGCATGTTATGTCACTACTACACGTTAACTGATTTACTCATAATACTAACAGCTTCTACTAGAATCCATAGAATTCACATCAAGAGGTTCTATAGCATATAGCACAGCCTGTTAGGGCATTGGTTCTTAACATTACATCATTTGTTTGGTTACGTTGAGCAAATGGCAGCTGTGGGTTCAATTTTCGATCGGCGTGTGATAGTCTGATGATCTTGAATAAGTCATCTTCACTCATAATACCAGTAAACCCAGCCGTAAATGGGTACAGGGATAATTCAGGAAAGTCCAGGAAAGATCAATGCCAAGATGTTTGGCCAAGGACCAGCTGGTAGAAAGGATCTTTAATTGTGAACCTAAATTGTTATCCTTGTAAAATATAGTTGTTTCTTTCTTTCTTTTTCTATCTGACTTACCATACATACAAAGTCCCATAGCAATTAGTGATGTTATCAAACACTTAAGTATTTGTGGAATTGCAGGAACCACAGAAGTCTAATTGAAAATTGGAGTGTTGCAAATTGATGCTATCAGTTTCCCTGATACCAAATTAGAAAACCATTGTGAATAAAGGAATTGAAAAAAAAAAAATTAGAAAACCTCTTTACAATCCCTTTAATTTCTTTGTATTTTAAATCATAAATATGCTCATTAAAGCATTTTTGAATTGTCAATTCTTTTCTTGATTTAGATAAATCAATGGGTGACATTGCTCATTGCATATTCATGAAAATGCTTTTGACAATAATTAATAGATTCAGGTGAAAGAATCTATTATATTTCTATAACAAATGAGTGTGATGGTTGCCGTTCTGCTAAATGTCTTGATTTGAACTTAGTTGACAAGTGCCAATCAATGTAATATATGGAAGATATCTTTTAATTTATCTCCAGCTTGAAAATGAAGTCAGTGGACAAAGTTCCTTTATCAAGGAATATCTGGCCAGGCAACAGAAAGCAATGGACATGCAATTTGAAGAAAAGAAGAAATTAGAAGAAGGTACAGTTACTCATATAGTCGCATTCCTGACTAATTATTACATAAACTTATAATCTTATATAATAATCTTACCTAGGATCCATCCGTTACTTTAGTTCACAATGATTTAACCAAGGACCGAGATAATGCACATTTCAGCACTTAATTTCAATTGATTTCTGTTAAGAAGTTGGTTCAAACATGGTTAATAGGTAAGTTAGTTTTCTAAATTTCTCTGAAGAAAAATCAGCTTTTGTCTCTGTCGTTTGCCTATGAATCATTATCCCCTCTTACACACGTCTGAAACCAATGCAATGGGTTTGTTTCTTCTTGATTAATTTGGATTTCATGGAAACCGTTATTTTTTCAAATCCCTGAACCTACTTATCTCCCTTGAAGTTCTGATTTTTAACTATAGGGAATAATATGCATTCTTTTGTTTCAGGAATCATTGAAATTCTAGTCAGATGGAATACTACAAATTGTCGTAGGAAGTTAGGATTGTTAAGGGCTAAGAAGTGCTGGAGGCTGTCCAAGTCCAGATGTGGCTACAGCCCAATAGGAAGTGATTGAAAGGGCAAGTTATTGCTTTTGAATGGATAGAAGATGATGCCCTTATCTTACATCCTTAAGAAAACCTGCACTTTGGTTCAGAGGGTGATAATTTAGTAACAAAGTAAATGTAAAAGATATCTGTAAAAAAGAAATATTTGCAGCATGCCAGACTGTTTGATAATTTTGTGTAAGACAACAAAGAAAATTAGTGTTAAAGGAAGTCATAATTAAGCTAATAGAGGCCATGTGTAAGCTGAAAGAAGTGAAAAACTAGTACTAACTAAAGAAATGCTGGTGAAATAAGAATTCTGTGAGAAATCGCTCCCCTATAAAATCTTAAAGGATGCAATAAGAAGGATATTTCTAAATTCATACTATACCATCCCATTACAGCAGATGAACACAAATAGATAGTGATCCATGTTTTGTAAAGAGCAACATTGCTCAAAACTAAGGAGAAAGCAGCGAGAACAGATCTCTCATTTACCTGATGAAGATGATAAGCTTGTACAGGTATGTCATGTAATATTTCTGGCTTCTACTGGTGGCGCTTAATGGAAAATCCAGATGGCTCGGAGAAATGAAGGGGATGATGAGGAAAAGTTATTGGTGTCAAGAGGCAGTCTAGATTAAAGACAAAGATATTCACAGCCTACCAAGCACAAAATCACATTACTGCAGGTACAACTCAGCCTCAATAATTATCTGTAGACTAGAAGGTCAACAAAATGTGTGTTAAACAATGAAACTGGCATATAAGACTTCTCTACAGATGAACATTTTGGTTCTAAAAAAGATTTTTGTAGTATTTATTTTTGTAAAGTTTTTGCACAGCTACAAATTGTGAAAAGGGAATACTAACAGAAAGATACCGGTTACACATGTGAAGACTACATATATTCAAGACTCAAATCATTGCAGAAAAGGATGAATCCAAACAGGCTAGATCAAGTTAGAGAATGATACACAAATGTGAAGTGTTCTACAGAAGACCCCCCATTTGTCATTACCTAATCAAATTGTTATGAAGACAATGATATTCTATATCAATTATGTAATTGACAGAAAATAGTTAAGCTAAAATGATGTCAGATTATACAAATTTGTGCACTTTTTAGTGTCAGATTCTTGTAGAACTCGAAAATTTTTAACTGACATATAAAGAAATAAATTGGGACTCATAAAACATGCTACATGGTTCAATTGTAGTAATATTGAGATATATGTTTTGCGATTTTTTGGATTTGAAACTGGGGCAGTTTCAAGCTTCAATTGTTCAAAATGATAGTGGTAGAAATGTTCCAAAGTTGTTGGTCAATAAAAACAATGAAGTCCAAATACTTAATAAATATTCTTTTGCATAATCCTATTGTCACATGTCTTTTGAACCTTCTCTCAAAAAAGTGGGGAAAAGTAGGAAATAGCATTAGAAACCACTAAAACTTTGTGAGTTAATCTTGACCCATTCAAGTTTCTGAGAGTACGATGTTTGAAGAACAATCTTATATAACATGAAAGAATTATTACAGAAATAATATCTACTCAGTACAGTGGTGTAACCTATATTCGTGCATATAAGGATTCAACACCCAATTTTGTCGAAATTGAAAAGTTTTTTTTCATGTCTTAGAAGTTTCCTAAGATATTCTATAAAATAATTAAAATTGGTTTGTTTCAATTTTCTTTATGAATCCCTCACTTTGGACCATTTTGCATGAGTAACCAACTCAACAACGCCTGCAAAATGCATCACCTATTTTCATATACAATGTTTGAACTATATAGAAAATACGTTGTATGGATACCCAGTGGTATAATTAACTTCTTTTAGTATTTATCTCTAATAATATTCCATTATAACAAATGACAATTCCTTCAAAGAACAATGATTTAAAAAAAATAGTGACTGACAAAATAAGAAAAGTAAAACCTAGCGTGATTTATTGCTAAAAGTCATTCTAACATAAGAATATGGCTCACATTGTGTTCCATAGAATTTTTATGCTGACACAGAATCCGATAGTTGATCATGTGACTTTGTTCATTGGGCTACATTTGATTCTAGCAGACGATTCCGATTACAGCTA